TGGTGCCTTCACAGGGAAGTTGGTTTATGTTGAAAAATCAGCAGTGTTGCACATCTGCTATGCATTCTCAGTTTAAAAATTCAAAATGAGCAGGTTTGAGATCTAGTCTGGTGAGGGAGAGGAATCTCAACATAGGAAGGACCTGGCTGGGTGTTCCCATTGTTCAAAGGGGAAATAATCTTGTTTCTTACTGTGCTGTGCCAATGTATTGCATTACATGAATATTACTGTAACTTAAGTGCACTAAAAGTCTCAAGATTGTATATGAGAGGATCCAGCTCAGACATGACTAGTGCAAGAAATGGTCTTAATTTAACTAATGCTAATTAAGGCCATGATCTCCTGCAGTAATGAGAATTTATTTAGCAAACAGTTTGCAGATTCAGCCTGTGGTTTTACACAAGTGAGGACTCTGACAGATCTCTCTTTTCCATGCCAGTGACTTCTAGAAAAGGAATTGATTGTATAGACTGGGAATATGGAATTTTAACTTGCTTACGTTGGATTAAAGACAATGTTTTATGTGCTTTAATCACTGCACAGTGACAGTTGTTGCAACAGATGAGTTAACCTCTTTCTTCCTTTTTTTAGGTTGTGATACGTGTCTCCATGCACCATTTCCTCTTTTCTTTCCAAACAATTTATGTCCTGTCAGGTTCATATTTATAAGTTTTCTGGCAAATACTGTTCTCAATAATATAATTTCAAAGAAATGAAGGGGGTACCTGTTGGCAGTTTTCTAAGAAGGTCTGAATCCATTGTCTACAATCATCTCTCTGAGCCAGCCTGAGGAGCACACTGAGGTATATGAACAAGATAAAACTCCAAATGGTAACCAGGAAATTGAGATTTTGGGTGAAAATATGAGCTTGAGTCATCTGCACGAGCGTCTATGCCAACGCTGTACCATCCTTACTGCTGCTTGCACTACTCTGGCCTTCTGGTTCTGTTCGGAAAAATCGGTGGGATTCACCCCCTGTTCCTGGCTGATGTTGCTACCATAAAAGTAATGATTTGTGAGAGTACTCCTGTGGACTCCCTTGTGATGAGGTCTTCCACAAGTTGGTGTTCTTGTACTGATCTGCTTTTTAGAAGCAGCCCCATTAAGAGCCTTGTGGGTTTTTTTAATACGTGACGTCAGGCAGAGAGCTGGTGTGGGGAATGAGAAAGGGTCTTTTGAGTTTTTTTCTTGCTTTACTGGCTGGCTGAAAGTGGGAAAACTGAATTATACATTTCAGCATGACAGTGAGGAATATGGGCAGATATCCTGATACCATTTCCCGATTACCTGTAACATTGCCTGTCTCCTTCTAAAATTATCCTACTGGAGGCAGGAAATATCAGGTCTATTAGTGAAACGACTCTCTGGCCATTAGTTTTTAGAGCTTTAAATAGTCTTATCTCAGTGGATGTGTTTGCCCTGTGGCTCATCTATCAACCCTAAAATGTTTTATCAGCACCTGAGAAATCTCAATAAGAAGAATAGCCTCAAATGCTACCCATTCAAGGGGCTTTCAGATACAGAATGTATTTTTCTTTTTTTTTAAAAAAAGGTCTTTTAAGATCTGATATTATTTGCTGGCTTTTCAACCCCGTTTGATCGTTCCCACAGCACCACTTCTATAAATACTCCTGACCAGAGAAGAAAGGAAATCACAATAGATTAAAAGAAAACCAGGGTAACGGGCAGCAAATCAATGTCCATTCAGCCTCAGACATTTGTGAAAATAAAGGATTATGAAGAATTATTGCCAGGTACTAGTTGTGTGAAGACCTTTTGTGGCTTTTGTCTTCTTTAACAGATAGTTCTTAGGGGTCTGAGAAGAGCTCTCAGTGTCACGAGCCAGTTGTATGAGAAATAAGCAGAAGTTACAATGCTGTAAGATGTTGCATTTTTGGTGAATTTTCTGCTATTTGACAGATTATGAGTGTCATGTTTTTTCTTTGAAAAATGTGGTTTCTGGTTTGAAAATGAGTTTGTGTTATTGTGAGGTCTGAAGGAGAGGAGATGGAGGCAAGGGATGGGGCACAGTGGGTTTTATTTTTGTCTACTGGTTACTGCAGCCCCTGTCTTACTGTCTTCACAGGAATTTAGAATCAGAACTTTCAGAGTAGGTGAACCTGTGCCAGTTTGGATCAAGTCACTATTTAATGAGTCAGAAAGCCAGAAAAGGAGAATTAAACTGAACAAGGTGAGTTTTTTTATCTCCGAGGCCTTTCAGAGACCAGCCAAACCACCACAAAATAACTATTAGTAACAGAAATGGTGATGCAACAGAATCAGTTGTAGTAAACATCTGGAAACATTCCCTGAGGTTTCTTACCTGTAAACTTTACCATGTATTTGCCACCATTAAAATGAGTGGGTGAGCCCCCTCTTGCCTTTGAATGAGCCAGCTGTGTTCTGCAGAAGGAAATGTGTTATGAAGAAGGGAAGGAAAAGATTGTTTTGGAGAAGAAGAAAAACTCTGTTTGAAAAGTGCATGGACGATGCCATGAGCAGCTGCTTGCTGACTCCAGTCTAATGTTTTCCAGGGAGGGCCTTTCATCTCTTGAGGTGTTTCAGGTTTGTCTTTGGACAGGAAACTGCCATTTAAAAAAAGAAAATCATGTTTGGAGAAATTGTCTGGGTTTTACTTTCAGGGAGCAAGGGGTCACACATCTTTGTGTCATGAACTCTGCAAAAGATATGTTGCACTTGAAAGCTTGGCCTTCATCGTGGGCACTTGGTGAAGCTTCATTTTCAGGTGTGATGGAACTCAGGTTCGGTGACTCAGTGTTGTTGGTGCCAAGTGCTTTGGGGTTTCAAAACAGCTCAGCAGACAGCCAGGCCGTTAGAGTCAGTGATGCTGGATAGTCAAGACTTGGGAAAGAAGACATGGGTGGTGTCACAAGGTGACTTTCCCACTGATCCATGGACCCACTGAGCCCCAGACTGCGTGGAAGTGGAAAATGAGCCGTGTTGGTGTGGATTTTACATGTTAGACCTACCTCTAATTGAACCAGATTATGAACTATGTGGCAAACCCAATTTTGCTTTTCAATTCACTCTGGAAAGTATGGAAACGTGTAGGAAATTCTGTCTGGTGGGTCCCTGCTGCTGTTTCAACCTAACTTCTTTCTGCTCATGCAGGAGCAAGCATGGTCACCACTAAGGTGCACATGATGAGAGGCAGGAAAACAGGAGCAGGTTGCTTTGAGATCTTCACACACCAGGAACACTGTCATGGTAGCAGTTAAATCCCGAGGGTTCTCTGTGCTTCTCAGCTTCTCTCTTGCTGCTATTGAAATACTGGATGTGTTCTGCACTTCCCAGCCAGCAAAAGTCCTGCCAATGGAGAGGTCTTTCCTGTAAGTGGGGTTTTTTCTTGGTCCTGGACAAATGATTAACAGCTTAATCAATGGTGTCAAAGGTTGAGCAAGCTGTATCACATAGGTACAGCTTGGCTTTAGTCTGGGGAAAAGTCATTTGAAACAAATAAGTCAAGCATAAAAGACAAACAAAAAGCTTTGCACAGCCTAAGCCATCTTTCCTGACCGTTGTCCTCCATGTCTAGGAATGAAAGGCCACTTGATTGCTGACTCTCTGCTCAGTTACACAGGGGTAAAAAGCTGGTGCCTGAAGCACAGCCTTTTTATTTGGAGCAGATTCCTACAAGGAATCAGTTAATGTGCTTCTGTGTGTGAGGTTGTTACCATCAAGCTGCCACACTAGAAGGATGCAACAGCCAGTAGCTGTTCTGCAGGGACATGCCTCCTCAGGCATCATCAGGTCATTTTCATGTAACTATGACACATGAAGTGGTGTAGCACTTGGCCAGGTGATGATACTGAGGTTCTCAGGTGTGTTTTGTATTAGTGAATAGGATTCATTTTTAAATATAGCAGCCAGCATTCCCATAATGAGAAAATTAAACTGTATTGTATGTATCCTCTAAACACTTGGAGACTTGTCCTAGGGTGAGAGGCTGTTCTGCTGAAAGTTACACAGTGCAAAGTTCTTCAGAGAACCTCTGCTTACCCAACAAGGGGAAGATGGGGGGGAATAGTGGAGGGGGGGCACAGAATGCAATGATGTGCATGATTTTATACAGAGAAACACAATCAAAGGTCATTTCTCCCTCTAAAATGCGTATTTTCAGTTAGGCTAATGAGGCAAATTAAGGGAAAGGCTGTTGAGTCTCAGGAATCCAAAAACCATACCTGGAGTGAGAAGCAGCAGGAGGTGAAGGCTGCCTCAGTAGGCAACTGAAGAAGATCCTGATCTGCCTTTGTGAGCCCAGCTGAACTGATGGGAATCAGCCCTTGGTGAGTTTTCTGCCCCAGTTAGGACCATTTAAGAGAAAGAATGACTGAAGGTGGTATCTAGAAAACAGCAAGATGCTTCATGTCATACAGTGACAGGTCTTGCTTCCCATGGGCTCAAGAGTTTGGGTGTGTAGAACTGGGGGGTTTTATGGAAGGGACAAGCCCAGGGCTGGGATTCTTGTCTTCCCCTGCATCCCAAGCCCTGGTGAGAGGCAGCAAAGGGCACTGTTTGGCATGAAGGTTCCTCAGCCATGAGAATGGCTGCTTATACCTCATGCCTGGCCTTCCTCTGGTAGACAGTCATGAAAAGCAGAAATAAAGGAATGAGTTTGCAGTCTGCTGTGTTTCCTAGAAAGCAGCTTTAGTTTACTTATTGCTTCCCTCTTGCCAAGACTCAAGGATGTTTCAGTTGTTGAAATATTCATTTTTCCTGTGTCCCTTGAAAGGAGCATTACAAATGAAAGCCTGAATTGCTTCTAGACAGAGCTTTGCTTCTTTCCCCCTTGCCTCCAGAAAGCTGTGTACTAACAATTGCAACATTTACCTTGTGGATCCGCCAGGTGCTGGGTCATCTGCTGTTTACAGTGTGGGAAAATGACCCAGTAATTTATCTTTTTCTACTGGAACCATTTCCATACACGCCCCCAGCGGATGGAAGGGTGGCTTTGGATCTCTGCTGGTACCTGGGAGCCATGAGCACAGCACGCACCGTGTTTGCCCCGTGCCCCATCATCAAACTGTTGCTGCTTTGTGCCGCGCTTGGGGTCTTAAATTTTCATGGCGTTGGGTAAGTGAATGTTTGTGAGGCTGTGTCCACAGGGGATATGAAAAAGAGCAAAAAGCCAGGACAGACTCTCTGCTCTTCCTGTCCATACCTCAGAAATGCTGTCTGGAGTGATTATTCTGCCTTTCTGCTGGCTAGAGAAGGACATTGTTTGGAAGTTAATGCCGTGTGTTGTGTCTGCCTTTAGAAAATAATCCTGTCTGATAAATCTGAGATGACAAATCACCACGGTCGTGGTGTTATGTGGGAACCTGTTTGCAATGTGCAGCCTCCTCTGTGCTAGTGGCCCCACATTCTGCTGGAGAGACAAGGGTTGGTTTTCTTTGAGTACCTACGTGGCCGGGATGTGGCTGATAGTTGTTTCTTTCCCT